TTTTCAGTGATGTCACTCACAAAACGGTTTAGTCTGGTCAAAAAACTCATGTAGTGGCAGTGGGCCTTGCCGGATTGCTAAGAAAAGTGTAGATTTAAAGAGCAAGTCACCCCCAATTCTACTTTTTTGTTTTTTTTGTTGATGAACTTTATAAATGCGTGTCTAATCGTGCTGCAGACATGTTCTGACAATAATTTTGCACTTTAGTGCATTTTAGTAAAAATGTTAATTTTCTGCCTTAAACTGTCAGTGTTGTGCCGTTGTCAGGTAAAAACTCCGCGCACTGCATTTGAATTTAAATCTGCCATCGCTATTGGCTAAGAGGTACCCTATGATGTTAGCTGGTATATTATGATGCCACAATGTTGTGTGTGTGTGTGTGTTTGTTTGTTAGTGGCTCCGCCCTCTTGGTCTGCTAGGCAACAGCGGCCTTGTTCGAGATGAGCCAGTTCTGCGCAGATTAGATCACCGGTGATCGGCGCGCAGTGCATGCCCTTTAGATTTGTGTCCGACTTGACGCCGACTTGCTCTGACATCATGTCTACGTAGGCAACGATATCCTCGTGAGATCAAGTTGGCCGCAGATTTTGGAGCAAGGCGCTGCAGTTGCTCTCCACCAGCTGCAAAACCTAGGGGATGACGGGAAACGCCTGGCTCTCACCTGATCTGACCCCGGGTTTCCACGGGAGCCGTCAGCAGCACGTTACTGCAGCAGCACGTCTAGCTGCTGCTTGGCCCTTCCCACGAGACGCGACGCAGCAGAGGAGCAGCTGTCACCGACAGGGCACGAAGTCACACGAGTGACTTCGTCAGTAAACACAACAACAAGCAGGAGAAAACTACAACATGGCTCCAAAATGTTTGTGTTTTTATATTCTGTCCGTTTTATAATCGCCAATACGGACCTGAAAAACAAAGGAGACCGCTAACTAGATGATAACTTCTCACGGGGCCGCACAGTTAGTAACCTTTTTTAAAGTAAAGCGACCGGAAGGCAGTACGTTCTTTATTCTGAAAATCTCGGGAGCTTCTCTCCATTTCCGCGTCCGATTTCCTGTCTTTCCTTCCCCAAAAATGTCGAACTTGACCCGTTTCAGAGGCGTCGCGCGTAGGAAATAGAACCGGCGCGTAAAGGCCGCGACATGCTGCTCCTGAGACGCGGCCGACTCGCGCTGCTGACGGCTCCAGTGGAAAAGGTTCTGTTGACCACAGCCGTTCCTATCAGCAGCCATGACGTGCTGCTGCAGTAACGTGCTGCTGACGGCTCCTGTGGAAAGCCGGGGTAAGATCTGATTGGTTCACATTTTGATCCAAATATCCAGTGGTAGAACATGAAATGTTAGTTGGTCACATGTATTCTGTAAATCATGTTATGTTGATGATGACAACTATATGGGCCATAAAGAGAAATGTGATTTGTGTTATTTTGTCACGTTTCCTATGAGCACACTAAACCTACAGCTGACAACCTTTACTTATTATTAGTCATATCTTCATATACAGTATATGATATCCACAAGCACGTGAGGATGTGTTTCGGTTGCTAACAGGCACCAGAATTAAAATAAGTAATTAAACAAGTATGAACTCTAACGCGATATCTTCATCCATCATCACCCGCAAGCTACATATGTAGGGAAATCTGTCAGACTTAAATGCCGGCTTTTAGCCACTCCCCCTGCTGCGTCCGTCGGCTCTGTCTGTTTTCCAGGTTAGGCACCGCTCAACTCGAACAAGGCCAACATTTGTTACATTTTTCAAACAGGAAGTCGGAGTAGAGTAAGACTCAGGTAGGGGGTGACTTGCTCTTTAAGTAAAGAAAACCTAAAATTTTTAAGTTTTTTTTAAAATTATTATAGGTCCAGAGTTGTGACTGCCTTCAATTTAGTATCTGTGTGTCAGAATGAGAAAGAACAGATGCGACAAAATAAAAAAGTAAATTAAGATGAGTTCCCAACAAATGAAAGAATCACGACACTCTGTGACTGAACTGTGGTTTGGACATTTTTTATAATATTCGCGTGAATCTTTCAGAACTTTTAATAATAATAATTAATAATAATAACTATTTATTTGCAATTTAGATAATCCCAAATTTATCGTTAATACAAATCATCACTCAAACTGAAAACTTGCTTGTTGTCTTCTGGTATCGTCGTCTTCCTCCGCTTATCCGGGTCACGGGGGCAGCATCCCAACTAGGGAGCTCCAGACCATCCTCTCCCCGGCCTTCTCCACCAGCACCTCCGGCAGGACCCCAAGGCGTTCCCGGACCAGACTGGAGATGTAACCTCTCCAACGTGTCCTGGGTCGACCCGGGGGCCTCCTGCCGGCAGGACATGCCCGAAACACCTCCCCGGGGAGGCGTCCCGACCAGATGCCCAAACCACCTCAACTGGCTCCTTTCGATCCGGAGGAGCAGCGGTTCTACTCCGAGTCCCTCCCGAATGTCCGAGCTCCTCACCCTATCTCTAATGCTGAGCCCGGCCACCCTACGGAGGAAACTCATTTCGGCCGCTTGCATCCGCGATCTCGTTCTTTCGGTCATTACCCAAAGCTCATGACCATAGGTGAGGATTGGGACGTAGATCGACCGGTAAATCGAGAGCCTGGCTTTCTGGCTCAGCTCCCTATTCACCATGACAGATCGGCTCAGCGTCCGCATCACTGCACACGCCGAACCAATCCGCCTGTCGATCTCCCGATCCCTCCTACCCTCACTCGTGAACAAGACCCAGAGATACTTAAACTCCTCCACTTGAGGTAGGACCTCTCTCCCGACCCGGAGTGTGCAAGCCACCCTTTTCCGGTCGAGATCCATGGTCTCAGATTTGGAGGTGCTGATCCTCATCCCAGCCGCTTCACACTCGGCTGCGAACCTACCCAGCAAGAGCTGAAGGTCAGAGCTGGATCTTTCATGGAAGTAAATTCAAAGAGTCGGCGTACCCGGCCCGGAGGGTTACCGGGGTCCCACCCTGGAGCCAGGCCTGGGGTTGGGGCCCGTGACCTGGTGGCTGGGCCTTCGCCCATGGGGCCCGGCCGGGCCCAGCCCGAACCGGATACATGGGCTCAACCAACTGTGGACCCACCACCCGCAGGAGGAACATGACGGGTCCGGTGCAGTGTGGATCTGGTGGCAGACCGAGGTTGGCGGTCCAATCCCCAGACAAGGAAACTGGTTTTTGGGACATGGAACGTCACCTTGCTGGCGGGGAAGGAGCAGGAGCTTGTGGCGGAGGTTGAGCGGTACCGCCTAGATATAGTCGGATTCACCTCGACACATAGCATTGGCTCTGGAACCCAAGTCCTTTTAGAGGGGTTGGACACTCTCCTTTGCTGGAGTTGCTCCGGGTGAGAGGCGGAGGGCTGGGGTTGGCTTTTTGTTAGTCCCAAGACTCTCTGCCTGTGTGTTGGGGTTTACCCCGGGGGACGAGAGGGTAGCTTCCCTGCGCCTTCGGGTCGGGGAACGGGTCCTGACTGTTGTTTGTGCTTATGGGCCAAATATCAGTTCAGAGTACCCACCCTTTTTGGAGTCCCTGAGATGAGTGCTAGATAGTGCTCCATCAGGGGACTCCATTGTCCTGCTGGGGGACTTCAATGCTCACGTGGGCAATGACAGCATG